GGTTCTCATTTGGGCCCACTACTAGACCGAATTCACACCCACAGGCCCATCACTTGCCCCACTTCACGTCCTTATTCTCTACTCCTGTACTGTTATATTTACACTTTGATACTGACTCCTTTTTTAATTTTTTGCTATAATTATTGTCAATGTCATTTTTTTTTTTTATTGAAAAGTGTATTTTAAAAGTTTATGGGTATGAAAATGCATTAAACCATTATTTGGATAGAAAAAGTCGTTAACTCTTTTAAAAGTTGTAAAGCAACCCTCCATTATGAATTATTATGGTTGATTTTAAATTTAGCCATTAATGGTACATGGTTCGATATAGCATTATACCATCATGCTTAATCTTGTTTCCGTCTACCTTAAGTTTTTAATAACTACATTTAACTAAAATGTGTTACCTCTCAATTAGTAATTGAAACCATTGGAAATGAAATAATTGTTGATTTAGGGCAGGCTACATCATTTCATTAAATCAAACATTTTTTTTAGTGATTATGAATAAATAAAGATGAAACATGTATCGAGATATCTGAATGAATATTGTTTTGATGGGAACTCCTTTTTGGCTGTTTCACTTTCACATACAGTATTTTACTATGAAACACCACACCAGTTGACTTGTAAAAAACAAGAAGACAATAATAAGAACATATAATTATTGTTTTGTAATTGGCGCCTTCAGTGTTAATGTTTGCCAACCTGTTTACAAGGACAACAATTGTGGAAATTTATGGTGTTACTTATTATTTCAATTATACGACCCACCCTAGGCCGTCATTTCATTAATTAAAAAAACAATGAAAATACAACTAATTTAACTGCAATTATTAAGCAAGAAATTAATTTACCTAATGATGGAAAAAACCTCTATAAATAATGATAATGAGAGGCGTGCTGATGCTACGATGGGATTAAGTAGTCGGCAATAATTCAAGCATTCCCACAAAAATGATATATAATTATAAAACCAGCAATAATAATCACCACCCCACGTGAACATCAATAATCCATAAGTATGTAGTTTAGAGGCCTGCAATATTACAAAATTAGTATATATGAATTTACAAGGTTGTATCAGTATGGCAATTAAATTTGCAGATGAATTGAGTTCTTAATTAAAATTTTACGTGAAGCGTAGGGATGGTATTTATTATTTTCAAGGGGGAGAGGGAGACAGCAGCAATCATATATATTTACGGCTTGGTTGGAACATGCAGTGAATAATTGGTGCCGTGAATCTCGGTTCATGCTTCGCCCTGGGGGTTTTTCATCTTTCATGCATCACTTTCTATTCACAATATCCTTCAATTTTGGCAGCTGCCTCTTCTTATTTCAACATTTTACTTTACCGTATCATTTCTTTTCTTCTTCGGGCTTCTGCTCTACCTTCATTTCATTAAAATAATACTCCTCAAATCAAAGCTACTGGGTTCGTATTTGTTGATGAGACATCAAGGGAATATAAGAAATATGATTAAAATGCATGCATAACATCAATTTTTATCTTGTAAGTATGACTTTATGTCACAAGTGACAAGTAAGGTCATATTCAAAGTTTGTTTAACTATATATCAACGCTTTGGTATTAATTAATTAAACGTCGCTTCTCCTTTGGAAAACAAACAAGTAAAATATATAAAGGGAGATAATTAGAAAGATTTGGTGGCATCCAATAAATGTTATTATCCTGAAAGGAATGGAAGCTGATTGATTGAACCCCACCTTTTACATAGTGCATAGCTAAAAGAACCCACACTTGCGGCTACTCTTTTGTATGTGGAATGGATATACAAAACCCCATTAAGTAAGTTGAATCCCCCGACGTAGACCTTAGTGCTCCTCCTCTCTCCCATTATCTAATTAAAATCATCTATATTTCTTCATCATCTTTTACAATTTCCAGCCTGTTTGTTTTGTGTTACATTAATCACAATTTTCAACTATATTATATATATATAAGGTTAAGGGGAGAAGGGTAGGGACCAACGGTGGGTGATCTATGACTTGAGATTAAAGATATGTCGTGTCACTGTCTTTATATATGCCAACATCTCATGCATCCAATTCTTATTGTTGTTTAGCGTGATTATCCCCATCATTACCTTAACTACTCTACTTCATTAATTAATCTAAACATGATATTATTCCTTCCATCTCTTAAACCCACAAGATGATTATTTTTAAGTGTATTAATTGGCTTGTCTAGCGGCACGGCCAACGCCACTAACATTTTTAGAAATAACGGAATCATGCCTTTATTTATGACAATTCCTTCATTTTAACATCAATATTAATTAATTATGAACTTTTATAAATTTGTGAGTATTGTGTTTAATGTGCATAAGTTGATCCATTGTGATTTGTGATGTAATGTTATGAGATATTTGTGATATGTGGATGTGGAAATATTCAATTATTACTTTTTGACAAACAAAAAGCTTTTCTTTGCACGACTTTCAAATTGGTTTCCCCACAATGCCACCATTTTTCATATTAATACGCATAATCAAACTCATTCATTGTTATGTCTAAAATTATTCAATTTTATTTTAGAAATAATAAATTCATCCAACTATATGGTTTATTGGACAATATTGTAGCAGTAAATAGTATTTATGAGCTAATTACCTCTGAATGATCAAATAATTTAATAGAGACTTTTAAGTGTATCACTTAATAGGTCTTAAGTTTAAGTTCTTTATCAATTACTAATAAGGATAGTCTTTGAAGCTTTTATCCGACCAATAAATTTAAGATCCCGAAAGATTAGTTAAGATAAGTAAAAGTTGACCTGAACATTCAAATTATTTAAAAAAAAAAAGTACTCATGAAAGGATTTGTTGTTGTACTGGGACAATTTTGATGAGGCCTAAATCAATTTCCACCAATTTTTTTTTACGGCTACAATATTGCTGCCTAAACATGTCAGTTCATGAATGTAGTCTGTAAACTAGTACCCTGAATTTGCATTAACCTCTGCAACAATAAATTAAACGCATCTATATATATATACTAATAAATTTATCTCATAACAGGTATCAAATTTGTGATTCAATCAACAAATAAACGTATGTTTATGTAGAAATTAATTAAGTAAATTAGTTACGTAGTGATAATAATAGAAATGGTAAACACGGTTAAGTTAAGGAAAAAAAAAAAAAGGACTGTAGTCCGTACAAGAAGAGATGAGAGGAACAGTGAGAAAGGAGGAGGGGAGCCATGGCCACACGAATGAAGCGAAACCCCACAAGTTGGTCGGAGTTGGAGGTTGTTGGGCCGACAAAAGCTGCATATATTCACATGGATGGGTGGTTTCCGTGTTCGTCTACTTCTTGCTCTTTCTCTTCCTTTCATATGCCCTTTCCATGTTATTTTCTTTATTTTACATTACCTGGCCCCTCAAATCTTTTTATTTTTATTACTTGGTTTGAGTTCATGACTACGACTCTTACACCCACTTCAGTTTTCTTAACATTATTATTATTATTATTATTATTAAAGTTTACTACATTAATCTTATTATTTAATTTTGAGTCCGTAAGCCTGCTCTTCCAAAGCATTAAAGCATATAAGAATCAATACATCCATTCATTGTATGTATAATACAGGTATTGGTACTTGAAGAATCTTACATATAAATTATTTCTAACTAGTGTCATGATTAATTAATGTATAATAATTAATAAACTTTGTTTCGCGTACATAAAAAGATAGAAAAACAACCCATCGAATTTAAGGGAAGATATAATAATATTTTTGTATATTCATCCAAGAGATTAACTGAATGTTTTTAATAATTGGTTTCATCTTGGTCATTTAATTTTTCAAACTAACTTCATTTTCTAATTTATTTAAAAAAGAATTTTATCTTTAAATATTAAAAAAAAAAAATATTCCAATCCCATCGCCTTTTTAACCACCAAGCATACAAATTACAAGTGCTGCCTGAGTTGTTATGGGGTCCATTAAAAGATGAATAATTTTTTAAAAAAACCACAAAAGTTGTTCACTTGATGAGCCAGCCAGGGTCCCTTCTCTTTATGAAAGCAATATAGAAATCTGGTTAAGCTAAATTAATTTAATTAATAACAGAATCATGCAATGCTCAAAATCAGGATCTGTCCAGATTAAGTGTAAAGTACCTCAACAACTGCGTAGAAAACACAGAGAAATGGATGATTAATTAAGTTTTATTTTTAATGATGGGGGATCTCTGAAGGTTGTGACATGTGAAGATCTCCTGTTTTTGCGGCTAGTGGGTATTCTTCTCTAATTTTTAAACATTTTATTCAGTCAAGCTCAAGAATCCATATCTTATTTTAATTTGCTATTCAAAAAGACGCTTCTCTTTCTTTTTTAATTTCCTCTGCTAACATAACATATTCATTTCAATCCCCTCTTACCTTTCGGCTTCGCCTTCCCTCCATGTGGACCCTGTCCCTACCCATTTTTGTTGTATTCATTTATTCTACTTTTTTATTTAACTAAAGTGGGTTCATTAACATCTGCTCAATGTTAGTTTATATCAAAAACCTTTGAAAAAAAAAAAACAAAAAACAGAACCATAATTAAGAGTTTTTAATACATTATGAATGAATGAGATGGTTAATATTGGTAAAAATGAAATGAGTTCCAAGGAAATGGAATTGAGGTAAACAGTCAAACATCAAAGTGGCACGCAACGTCAGCGTCACACCTAGTTTCCTTATTGAGATGAGAAACTCCAAGTCTTAAACACGAAATTTACTAGAATTAGTAAAACAAAACAATTTCCGCCATTCCTCCAACCACACACACACAGACACTCAAATCTGAATTTGGTAAGAATCTGAGGTGAATTTCAGATGCATTTAATGACAAGGAATAATGTTGTCTGCTCATAACACACAACACTATAAACTAACTTATTACTGTCTTTCTCTGTAATTTAGTGAAGAAATACAGTAACAAACTTTTTATTAATTTTCTTCTCTCTTTTTTTAACCCGCCCTGTCCCTGACCTGATTGCCATTTGCCAGGGTCTATTATATGTCGGCTCCTGCTTCACATAAAAAAGCTGTCTTTTTGCTTTTGCTTTTGCTTTTGTTCCTCTGATTTCCCGGCGACAAGTCAGTTCTTTCTTGATCCCTGCGTCAATTAAAACACACTTTCAACCAAATAATACTACCCATTTTTTCTGATTTTCTGTTTTTGGCTCATACATGATATTCTACCCACTTCTTGTTTTCTCTAACGGAGTAAACTTGTTTCAGTTTTCATGATTTTGTATTTTTATTTCATGGAATTGTTTCTTCTTCGAGACATGGTACTCCCTTCTGGTCAAAGAAGAGAAATAGAAGCCGGGAAAAGGAGTTCTAAGTTTGCCTTGTTTGGTTTTCGGGATTGAATTTGAATGTAGTGGTTTTTTTTTCAAGGACTTTGCAAATGTTGGGATATATTTTGGAGTTAGATATGAGTTTATTATTATCATTATGGTAAAAAAGGTCGAATCTTTTCTGGAACAAAAGCAGGTGATTGGATTTGCTTGCTTTACTAGGGCTTTTATCATTTCCTATACATGAAAGTAAACATGAAGGCTCAAGCTAATGGGTTTCTATCAAATTCTGCAGAAGGTGAGTTAAGGTTTTTTTTTTTTTTTTTTATTCAGTTAAAACACTTTCAAAACTTGTGTTCTTGTGTATTTAGCTATTCGTTTGATTCTGTTTCTGCATGTTCCTTGGCTAGTTTTCTCTTGTGAAGATTTATCTTTGCTTGAAGATTTAATACTTCTTGCTTTCTAATGCTTGAAGAAATTGGATTAAGCGAACTTTTCAGAGTGTTTGATTGTTTTATTTCCAATATATATATATTTTTATTTTCGTTTCTGGGTTGAAGGGTATTTTCTTCCTCTTATTATTGTCTAAATGTAAGGTTTCTGAGTATATATCGTCCGTGTCCATGATAAATACGTTAGATTTATTGATTAAATATCTAGTTATTTTTTATGTACAAACTCCTAGGAAGGAAGTTTCTATCTGGACTGATCTCTATTTTTCTAAAACAAAATAAGTACAAACTAAATTTAGAAATTTCTTAATTGATGACTTTGGTTTCATTAATTGTCTTAATTTATTCTATTTACTTTTTGTCTGAAAGAAGATAGTGTTTACTCTCCAAATTCCGCCGAAATTTCCATTTTCTATGCAGTCGAGTTATTTGTTGCAAGTATTTGATACTTCATAATCTAATTTTTTCATACATTTGGACTTTTTTCCTTTTCTTCTAATTTGAACTTCTTTCCTTTTCTTCTGGTCAACAAGTTCCACTTATAATTAAGCTTCAATCTGGTGTGGAGAGTTATCTAAATGTTATTCTGGCTTAACTTGATGGGAACAACTACCAAATGTTTTCGGTTTTGTGTGCATCATATTTTGGCATCAGAAACTTGGAAAAAATACTTTGCTTCTGTTTCAGCTCATGGTAACAATCCAATCAGTTTGGGGGTTGAGTGTTGTTAGTCAGATAACCAACTTCTGTTTTGTACTTTTGCATAAAAAAAAATATATACAATATCATTGCTAAAGGAATTTAAAGCAGAGGCTTTTAATCAACTGCGATTATCTCATATTTAGTCTATAATTATTAACAACAGTTGGTTAATAATTATTTGTGGCCGATAAAATTCATGTTTGCTATATTTTGAGACCTTAGTATTAGCCCTTGAACTTTATTCAGTTTTCTGAATTTGGCTTGACTTGTGACTTCATTAGTATTTTTTAGATGTATGTGTGAATACTTCTTTTGTGAACAGGGGAGAGGAAGAGCATTAATTCAGAACTATGGCATGCTTGTGCCGGGCCACTGGTTTCTTTGCCTCCAGTTGGAAGTCTTGTAGTTTACTTCCCTCAAGGCCACAGCGAGCAAGTATGTCCCCTCTCATTGATTCTAGAAGAGCAACTGTATCTGCATTCTGGTTTCTGATAAAATTTTCTGTGGATTAATGCTGAATCTCAGGTTGCAGCATCGATGCAGAAGGAGACTGATTTCATACCCAGCTATCCTAACCTGCCTTCCAAGTTGATTTGCATGCTTCATAACGTCACATTGCATGTATGAGAGCCTCTTATGTTCCACTCTACTGTTTTGTGGTTGATTTGTTTTACCAAAAAGGAAAATGCTGTAATTCAAGGGAAAGATAATTGAATTTGTATCAGTATGTTTTGTGTATGCCCAAATCTTGGATTTCAATGTCCTTATCATATTATTGTGTTTTCTTTGGATTGATGCTGAGTAATTTGCTATTTTGCATAGTTGGCGTGTGCATATGCACTCATGTGCCTCTATATCTTGGTTTATTTATTTCTGTAGTGTGGATTATAGGAGCAAAAACAAATGTTTTTACTGGTCAGGGAGTGAAATAGAAAAAAAAAAAAAAAAAAGATACACCTTTTTTGATTCTTTGGAAGCAGTGTTTGATTCAATTATTCTCATTTTGAATCAGGCTGATCCAGAGACTGACGAGGTCTATGCCCAGATGACACTTCAACCCGTAAGCAAAGTAAGTCAGCCATTCGTTATAACAGTCAATATCTCCGCAATATTTTTCTTTTGGTTGAAGAAATGAAATGTACTTAAGTGCATTGAACTCTCTGTTCTACAGTATGAAAAGGAAGCATTATTGGCATCTGATATAGGCCTCAAGCAAAACCGGCAACCAACTGAGTTTTTCTGCAAAACTCTTACAGCAAGTGACACCAGCACTCATGGTGGATTTTCTGTACCTCGCCGAGCAGCAGAGAAGATCTTCCCACCTCTAGTGTGTAAACTATTTTCTGATATTATTTTTTATTTTAAAGTTGAGCTTTCTATATGGTTGTGTGTCTACTATTCCGTTACTCACAGCAGAGGTACTTGATAGGATTATTCAATGCAACCACCTGCCCAGGAGCTAGTCGCTAGAGATTTACATGAAACTACATGGACATTCAGACATATTTATCGAGGTATCCCTCCAGAGTATTCTTCTTAAAATCTTTCAGTTTCATTTAACACCAGTGATATCGGGTCTATTGGTGCTTGCTGTACCTATATAAAATTTCAGTATGTAAGATATCAGTTTTAATTTTCCATTCTCATTTTGTGTTTAGAACAACTATGTGCTGGTACTGGAATTTCTTGGGAAGATGTTGTACTTAAAAGAAATATATAGTTGAGTGCTTTACAAATAACTTGTATGCTTTCATGTCAGATGTAAGGAACTCTGGGATCTTCTTTTATTATACTGCATATCTTGTTCGGTGTAGAAATATCAAATCAGATATGATGAGGATGAACCTTGGATTATGCTTCAACAAGTTGAAATATGAACTATAATTCCTGTTAGGTCCATTATATGTTTTAATACTGAATAGGAATACAGATATATTTAAAATTCTTGGGGATGGATTGATCTTTGAATCCTACGACAGATACATATAATTTTCAAATTTTATTCCTACTCAAACTTATCACGTTCCAAGAAGTTGTGCGTTAAATTTGATAGATACTGTCTGTATGTTTACATAAATTGAAAGAAATTATACTTCACCTTCTCTAATACTAAAACCTTATGAAGATACTAAAATGTCATATGGGTCAATCTAACATGTATCTCTAAGTTGGAAAAAGGTAGAACCATATAATAAATGTCCATTGTGTCTTGTTTGCAGGCCAGCCAAAGAGGCATCTGCTAACTACAGGTTGGAGTGTTTTTGTTAGCACTAAAAGACTGTTTGCTGGTGATTCTGTTCTTTTTATAAGGTACGGGATAGATACTTGGTAGAAAAAGATCTTAACTATACTATTGTTTCTCCTTCTGCTGAGCGGAAACTATTTCGTTTTATGTAGAGATGAGAAGTCGCAGCTTCTCTTGGGAATTAGGCGTGCTAATAGACAGCAGCCTGCTCTCTCCTCATCAGTCATCTCCAGTGATAGCATGCATATTGGAATTCTTGCTGCTGCTGCTCATGCTGCTTCAAATAACAGCCCATTTACTATATTTTACAATCCAAGGTACTGTTGTCACATTTTAGCTGTAGTTATGATTCAGTAATTTTTATGACAAAGTCTAACAAATTCTGAACGATTTTTGGCAGGGCAAGCCCTTCTGAGTTTGTGATTCCCTTAGCCAAGTATAACAAGGCAATGTATACCCAAGTTTCACTTGGTATGCGATTTAGAATGATGTTTGAAACTGAGGAGTCAGGAGTGCGGAGGTACATGGGCACCATCACTGGTATCAGTGATTTAGATCCTGTGCGATGGAAAGGTTCACAGTGGCGCAATCTTCAGGTTTTTAGCAAATTATGAATTTATGTGAAAGATTTTATTTTGTGTAAATCTAAATTAATGTTGTATTTTTCTATTTGTAAAAAGCTGGATTTGAATAGAATATCAAGTTTCTGTTAATGTGTCAGTATCATTATGCTATGTCAGGTCGTATAGAGGTTTCCTGTGTAGGCTTTCTTTGTAGAGCTTTTTTTTTTTAAGTTGCATTATGTATAGTGAGCATGGGGAGCAATTGAGTTTAAATTTGCAGAATGCATATCTCACTGCATGGCTTGTCTGCACAATTCCTTCTTTTCTGTGCATTGATTGTAAATATTTCTTGTGTATGTTGATTTAATTTTTTTTTCTTATAATCTGATTAGTGAATGTAAATTGTTATATGTTTCAATTCTGTATATCTAAGATGCAATCTTTTTGGAACTATGTGCGTATCATACTCTAGGTTTTAATATAGTTCTTGATGTGTTTGAGTCAAAATATGGTGTCTACTCGAATCAGTAACTTTCTATAGCAACTTATTCTGCCAACATAATTCCTTTTAATAGGTTGGATGGGATGAATCTACAGCTGGTGAACGTCCAAGCCGAGTTTCAATATGGGAAATTGAACCTGTTGTAACTCCGTTCTACATTTGCCCTCCCCCCTTTTTCAGACCCAAGTTTCCCAAACAACCAGGGATGCCAGGTAAATAATGATCACAATACGTACAACTCTATTATAAGTACAAAAACTAGCTCTACTTCTTTTTGGCAAAAGCTAGTTTTGTGGATCGGGGCATTAAGGGCTTTAATGGACACCTTGTTAGTGGGCTTAGCAAAAGTAAGTCAAGTGAGTCTAACAAGGTGGAGCATTTCTTTGTGATTGAGTCAAGTGAGTCTAACAAGGTGGAGCATTTCTCTGTCATTGATATATCATTTGAAGTTGAAAGAAATTGTGAATTTTGTTCTCATTTATTTAACTAAACTCAACTCAACTAAACCACAATGCGCACTAGCTGGAGGTTAAAGTCATTATTTATTATGAATTGGCTGGAGTTCAAATCTCTGTTCGCTAATTAGCTCTGTTAGATAAATCTGCTCAAACTATATCCTTACCATTACTTTTTCTTATCAGTGATCTCTAGAAAATTATTTGCAGATGATGAGTCTGACATAGAAAATGCTTTCAAGCGAGCTATGCCCTGGCTTGGAGATGACTTTGGTATGAAGGATGCCCAAAGCTCAATCTTCCCTGGTCTGAGTTTAGTCCAGTGGATGAGCATGCAACAGAATAATCAGTTTCCAGCTGCTCAATCAGGTTTCTTCCCTTCCATGGTTTCTTCCACAGCCCTGCATAATAACCTTGGCTCTGATGACCCATCAAAGTTATTGAATTTTCAAGCTTCTGCACTGTCTGCACCAAATCTCCAGTTTAACAAAGCAAATCTGCAAAACCAAGTCAACCAGTTGGGCCAGCCCCCTATTGCATGGCCCCAGCAGCAGCAGCAGCAGCAGCAGCAACTGCAGCAGTTGTTGCAGACTTCTGTAAACCAACAGCAGCAACAACATCCTCAACTTCAACAGCAGCGACAGCAGCCACATCAGCAGCTTCTTCAGCCACAGCAGCAACAACACCAAACTCCACCACCACCACCACAACAACCACAACCATCCCCTCCCCCACCGCAGTCACAATCACAATCACAACCACCGCTACCACAACGACAACAGCAACAACAGCAGCAGCAGCAGCAACAGCAACAACCAACGCCACCACCACCTCCACAACAACAACAACAAATGTTCCTTCCAACAACTGTAAATAATGGTTTACTTGCTGCTAACCCAAATCAAAATGTCCAGCAACCTGGTGTTTACTCTCACCATCAGCAGCAGCAATTACTGACAAGCAGTACCCAGTCCCCCCAAAGTATTCTCTCCACTAATAAGAATTCATACCAATTGACATCCTTACCGCAAGAATCGCAGTTCCAACAACAAATAGAACAACAACCTAGTCTTTTACAGAGGCACCAGCAACAAACACAATTGCCACAATCTTCCCTTCAGTTCTTGCAACAAAACCTTGCACAGAGGACACAGCAACAGCCACCAGCCCAGCAGTTACCACAGCAGGGCATGTCAGAGCAACAACAACTTCAGTTCCAGTTGCAACAGAAATTTCAGCAACAACAGCAATTACTCCCTCCAACGAGCTCACTTTTGCAGCCTCAGCTGCTACAGCAACAGCTGGCCCATCAACAAAACCAGCAATTACCGCATATTCCTGTGTCTCAGAATCAGCAGCAGCAGCTAAGTAGCAACAGCTTCTCAACATCAGTACTTGTGCAACCTCAACAGTTACCTATGAACCAACCTCCAAACCAGCATAAACCACTTACAGGAATCAGAGCACATTCTGGCCTTACTGATGGAGATGCTCCATCGTGTTCAACCTCACCTTCTACAAATAATTGTCAGGTTTCTCCATCAAACTTCCTGAATAGAAGCCAGCAAGGGCCAGCCATACTGATGGGGGATTCGGTGGTTGAGCCTGCTAGTAATTTGGCGCAGGAGCTTCACAGCAAGTCTGATATCAGGATCAAACATGAGTTACCCAACTCAAAAGGACCAGAACATCTGAAGTACAAAGGTACCTTGACTGATCAATTGGAAGCTTCCTCTTCTGGAACATCATATTGCCTGGATCCTGGCAACATCCAGCAGAATTTCTCTCTCCCCACCTACTGTTTGGATGGTGATGCCCAGTCACACCCTCGGAACAATCTTACTTTTACAACTAATCTCGATGGAATGGCGCCTGATACATTATTGTCAAGGGGTTATGACTCTCAAAAGGATCTCCAAAACTTGCTCTCTAACTATGGTAGTACTCCAAGAGATATTGAGACAGAGTTGTCCACTGCTGCATTAAGCTCTCAGTCATTTGGAGTGCCAAACATACCTTTTAAGCCTGGTTGTTCCAATGATGTTGCCATCAATGAAGCTGGGGTATTGAGTGGTGGACTATGGGCCAACCAGACTCAACGTATGCGGACATATACAAAGGTCAGTTATCTAATTTAACCTCTTCGCTGCAGGGCTGCTTCTACTTAAATGAGAGCTAGTCTAGTGTGTCAAATATAAAGTTTGGATATTTCATATCTATTTTCAATGTTGATATCTGTACAAGGAATTCCAAATAGCTATATGCAGGACCAGAATATGTTGCCTAGCTTGCCTTTACTAGGTGCCAATGCCAGAATTTCTATCTGACTATTGGTTCTTTATTGCTCAATGTTTATACCCTTTCGGTCCTTGCTGTATCCAGGGGAAGAAGATACAAACAGTAATCCTGGGATACTCAATGGTTTAAACTACTCTTACTAGTTGATGTCTCTAGGTTTTTGGTCAACTTGCAATGTCTAAATATCTGACAAGCTATTGTAATCTTTTTATCAAGTGAGCCAAGATGGTGCAATTAGGATGTCCAATGCTCCAGTTTTTCTTTTGCTTTTTTTTCTTTTTTTTTTGGTTTTCCTCGACATATTAAATGTTTATTCCGATTTTAATTCTTGAAGGTCCAAAAGCGCGGCTCTGTAGGAAGATCTATAGACGTCACGCGGTACAAAGGTTATGATGAGCTGAGGCATGATTTGGCGCGCATGTTTGGAATTGAAGGGCAGCTGGAAGATCCTCNCCCTCCAACGAGCTCACTTTTGCAGCCTCAGCTGCTACAGCAACAGCTGGCCCATCAACAAAACCAGCAATTACCGCATATTCCTGTGTCTCAGAATCAGCAGCAGCAGCTAAGTAGCAACAGCTTCTCAACATCAGTACTTGTGCAACCTCAACAGTTACCTATGAACCAACCTCCAAACCAGCATAAACCACTTACAGGAATCAGAGCACATTCTGGCCTTACTGATGGAGATGCTCCATCGTGTTCAACCTCACCTTCTACAAATAATTGTCAGGTTTCTCCATCAAACTTCCTGAATAGAAGCCAGCAAGGGCCAGCCATACTGATGGGGGATTCGGTGGTTGAGCCTGCTAGTAATTTGGCGCAGGAGCTTCACAGCAAGTCTGATATCAGGATCAAACATGAGTTACCCAACTCAAAAGGACCAGAACATCTGAAGTACAAAGGTACCTTGACTGATCAATTGGAAGCTTCCTCTTCTGGAACATCATATTGCCTGGATCCTGGCAACATCCAGCAGAATTTCTCTCTCCCCACCTACTGTTTGGATGGTGATGCCCAGTCACACCCTCGGAACAATCTTACTTTTACAACTAATCTCGATGGAATGGCGCCTGATACATTATTGTCAAGGGGTTATGACTCTCAAAAGGATCTCCAAAACTTGCTCTCTAACTATGGTAGTACTCCAAGAGATATTGAGACAGAGTTGTCCACTGCTGCATTAAGCTCTCAGTCATTTGGAGTGCCAAACATACCTTTTAAGCCTGGTTGTTCCAATGATGTTGCCATCAATGAAGCTGGGGTATTGAGTGGTGGACTATGGGCCAACCAGACTCAACGTATGCGGACATATACAAAGGTCAGTTATCTAATTTAACCTCTTCGCTGCAGGGCTGCTTCTACTTAAATGAGAGCTAGTCTAGTGTGTCAAATATAAAGTTTGGATATTTCATATCTATTTTCAATGTTGATATCTGTACAAGGAATTCCAAATAGCTATATGCAGGACCAGAATATGTTGCCTAGCTTGCCTTTACTAGGTGCCAATGCCAGAATTTCTATCTGACTATTGGTTCTTTATTGCTCAATGTTTATACCCTTTCGGTCCTTGCTGTATCCAGGGGAAGAAGATACAAACAGTAATCCTGGGATACTCAATGGTTTAAACTACTCTTACTAGTTGATGTCTCTAGGTTTTTGGTCAACTTGCAATGTCTAAATATCTGACAAGCTATTGTAATCTTTTTATCAAGTGAGCCAAGATGGTGCAATTAGGATGTCCAATGCTCCAGTTTTTCTTTTGCTTTTTTTTCTTTTTTTTTTGGTTTTCCTCGACATATTAAATGTTTATTCCGATTTTAATTCTTGAAGGTCCAAAAGCGCGGCTCTGTAGGAAGATCTATAGACGTCACGCGGTACAAAGGTTATGATGAGCTGAGGCATGATTTGGCGCGCATGTTTGGAATTGAAGGGCAGCTGGAAGATCCTCAAAGTTCTGACTGGAAGCTAGTATATGTGGATCATGAAAATGATATCTTGCTTGTTGGTGATGATCCATGGGAGTAAGTCAAAAAATACCCTGTCATCTCATAACTTTTTTCGTCAAATTTGTTTGTTCCCAACTAATCATTTGTAAAAACTTGCAGTGAATTTGTAGGCTGTGTTCAGAGCATAAAAATACTTTCATCAGCTGAAGTACAGCAAATGAGCTTGGATGGGGATCTGGGTAATGTGCCAGTTCCAAATCAAGCTTGTAGTGGGACTGACAGCGGGAATGCGTGGAGAGGTCACTATGATGATAACTCGGCTGCCTCATTTAATCGATAGGGAGATTTATAACTTAGAATATGAACTGTGCATGAGTTGTAGAAGTGAAGAGCAGTATCATAATATGAATATAGTTTACAACCCTTGGCTCACTCTTCCTAAATATATATAGTGCAGTAGTTGCTGGTTGACGGAAAGATCAACTCTCTTGATACTGGCATCTACTGCGTGGCTTTTGACAAAGGGATAGCAATATTTAGGGGTACAGAGCACATGAAATTGGTTGTATAATTAAATCTTACCCTCATTGAAAGCTGATCTGACTTCCACTTTCATACTACTTGTAAATGCTGTGATTTAGAGCAACGATGAACAGAAATATGTAGTGACAGCTGCGTCTATTCCTCAACGACATAAGTAGAATCATTTTTGCTTATATTGCAAGCCTTCCCTAATTCTGTTTAGTGCTGTGTACATTATTGCTAGAAAAATGGAAAATAGATTCAGATAGACATCTCTACTAAAACATATTTGTCCAAAAGCAGCGCCTTGCTCTTATGTTGTGGAGAAGCAGTAACAATATCATGAGGAGAAAGGTCCAAATTTTGTTTGTAGGTACAAATACCAAATTCACAGATAGCCCAAAAACCATTCCGGTCTTTTGTCGATAACCATGCTAGCCCGTTGGCTCTCCCAGTAATTCATCTTCTATACGAAGTGACAGCTTTCCCTGACACAACTAGAACTATTAGTCAAATATGAATAAATGTTTAACAAATTAAAGGAACCACCTGTCTAACATGAGATAGCCAGCCCTTATATCAAAGGCCATGTCAACCTTTAGACTTGTTCCAAACGCTGACAAGGGTTAATGTAAAGGTAGCTTTGCGCCACAAATTATAACGCCAGACACGTGCAATAACTAGGAGCTTCCTCTTCTGAATCAAAGGTTACTCTTGATGCTAACTATCTAAAAGTTTGATCCATATCTATCTTCAAACACAATTCAGGTATTCCATTAAATTGTAACCCAAAGGACAACATAAAATCCTAGCAAAGAAAGACAAAGCTGCAATCCATTATACTCAAAGCAAGATTGCATTCAAAATCCGTTTGCCTTGAAGCAACTCATCCAGAAAAATTCAGTAATACATAATAAAATTCGCCTAGACAAACAACTAAGAGAGCACAGCCATCACATCGGATGCTCTTAGAGCAATGAAGTTGGTACCATCGTTGCCCTTGAAGTCGTTCCCAGCATACTTGGAGAACAACACTGTGTTCCCTGGTGCGATGGGTAGTGCTTTTCTGTTGCCTTCCTCATCTAGAGGACCAGGTCCAACGGCAACTACCTAATCCATCCAAAGCAAGAAGCATCATGTCAATCTCGTGTCATATTTAATCCAAGTACTCAGGAACATGGTACAATACCATCAAAAGGGAAAAAAGAAGCCAATTCTTACCGTGCCAATGGAAGGTTTCTCCTTGGTTGCCTCAGTTAGCAACAGACCTCCAGCAGTTTTCTCCTCAGCCTCAGCAATCTGTACCCAGATGTTAAATAACCAAACAAGCCAACATATGAGACTGATTGGTTAAATTACCCTGCACAACAAATTGATCGATATAGAAAGAGTACAAACCTTTATGAATACCCTATCATTCAAAGGCTTAAGATCCTTGATATCATCTGTCTCAAGAATGCCAACTATGTCATCCTCCTTCAGAATGAGATGGTTTGAACCACTGAACTCCACCTCAGTTCCTGCATACTTGGAATAGACAACTTGGGTCCCAGTCTATACAAAAGAAGCAACGAGCAAGTGAGAAAGTTAATAGAATTGAGACACTGAAACATGAAATGAAACCCAATCATCAAAAATCACCTTCACGCTAATGTCCACTTTGTTTTTCCCAATGGACTTCCCCTCGCCAACAGCTACCACCTCACCTGATTGAGGCTTTGACTGAGCTGATGTTGGTAGCAAAATACCACCATCGGTTTTGTCCTCTACCGTCTTTATTTTGACCAACACTCTATCACCCAAGGGTTTAAGCGAAGTGTACTGCAGGGCCACAAAAAGCAAAACAATTGAAAAATAATCAACTCAAATAAACAGATCCATCATGAAACAATAATGGAAACCTTCACAAAGTAACAATGGATCATGCCAAGTCACATAATTATCCATTTAGAATTAAATTGAAAGACTTGGGAGTTCAAAAATAATAAAGCAGGCTCATCTATGCCTCAATTCAATTCAGTGGTGCATTTGGCACCACCAGAAGATCACTTTCGCATCTAATTAGTAACTTCTGGCTGAAATAGATTGCACATTTCTGGGTAAAAGAAAAAAAATTGGATAGTTTTCAGCGAAACAAAATTGAAATCGCTTTTACTTCAAAGCACTTTCTTGAAAAACACACCCAATATGCACTAACTCGTATCTCACATCCATCAAACACAATATCGGTTTCACAACAAAAAACTAACAAAAATTCCAAATGAATCGATAACCACGAATTCTAATGCATTGGAGCAGCTAAAAAAGAGGGTAACAAATACCTTGGGAGCAACCGCCGTGGCTGCTTTCACGACGAAAGAGCGAAAGGAGCGTTGACAGAGAGTGGTTCCAACAGAAGAGAACTTGACAGAGGAGGGTCTTAAACCTTCAAATGAAGCTAAACCCCTAGCAGGAACCGCAATTGATGATGCAGTTAGGTTAGCAGTGGACATTTTTTAAAATACAGAGAAGAAGAGAGCTTGTGGTTTGATAAGGTTGAATTAGAAATGTAAGAAGGAAGAGTCGAAAAGATAAAACCCTAGATGCATTTAAGTAGAGGGTTTTTTAAAGATGATAAGATGCTTCTAGAATTTCTCCAACGCCTCTCTCCAAACGGTTTCGTTTTAGTTGAAAGATTATTCTGGAACTACAACCATTGTGCATATATGATGATTGATGACATTTCAACTCAAAGCATTACTAATTATTTGGTTGGAGTGCTAAACTTTTGAGTTGTTTAACAAACCTTCACACTGTCATTTTGATCAACTAATTTATTATATTATATTAATTAAATGATTTGTTATTAAATTCTTCATGTTGCTTGTAAATGATAATGTTCATGTTACTACATATCCCTTACTTCACAGTTGAATAAGTTAAATATTAACATGTATTAATGCAATCTTAAAAAGTAAACACGAGAGATTTGCTCTCTTCATTGATTTTTTTAGGTTTGAATTCTGGGGTTATCCACTATATTTATGGCTTATCTTGAAATATTGAGTTTGTAGGGTATTCAATAACCCTAAAATTAGTGAAGGTATGCACAAACTTCACAATCATAAAAGAAAAAAAAAGATAATAATAATTTTGTCCATGAGCTTTGGTCTAAGTAAATTTGATCCATGTGTTTGTTGATAAGAGAAAGCAAAGGGGTTATTATCAACTAGAAAACACTTTTATCAAACATTTACATTATAGAACACAAATATTATAATAAACAGTGAGAGGACATTTAATGGTGTAAAACAAAAATAATGTTCTCTCATTATCTTTTTTTTACTATAAGTGTCCTATAATTAAAAGTTTATGTTAAAAATGTCTTCTGAGTGATAATAACTCAAAACAAAACGATATTCACAGAGACTAAAACATTATTAAATAGTTCTATAGGACTAAAATGTACTTAATCCAAACCTTAGGAACGAAATTGTTATTTTTCCACACAAGGATGATACACATTAGAGATGGCAACGGGTTGGGCCGGGACCGGGTACCCCTTGGCCTGAGCCCAAGCCTGACCCCATGACAAAGGCCCGAGGGGACATCACGGGGATGACGGGTAAAGCTCAAGCCCGGTCCGACAGGTTTTTTATAATCTCAGTCCCAGCCCAAGCCCAACCATTTTTATAATATGAATTTTTAAATATTAATAAATATTAATTTTTTTATATTTTTAATTACAGAAACAATTTTTAAATATTAATTTATTTCTGAATACTCATCAAATATTAATAAATTTCAATTTTTTTATATATATGTAGGATAATTCTGTAATTAGATATATAGTATAAGGTTAATTTAGTAAAATTAATAATAAAATGTCAGGCCGGGTCGGGCCTAAAAACATACCCATGCCCAACCCGTACCCGAGGGCAGACCTTAAAATCAATCACAGGGCCAAGCCCAACCTCGCTAATATTAGATAAACCTAACCTTTTCGGGCCGGACCGAACCAAATACCTAGAAATATCGAACTCATTGTCATCTCTAATACATAATAGACAATAAAGATTAATGAGTACTTGAGTAGTTTCAATGAAAATAGAAACAACATATGCTGGACTTGCGTTTGGTCTACTAGCTCTCACAAAAAGTTGTCCGATTTATATAGAAATACATCAATTATTTCTCTAGGGATTCAAAATTTTTTTTGCCCTCTGTATTGTTGAACTAGTAATTTGTCTCCTTATCAAATCTAACTTTCTAAATTGATCCTTCTTCTGACCCCTTATTTGTTGAATATTACTCATTAACCCTCCTAAATCAATTTCTTGCTACGCCCCTTCAACGCACTCTTTTGTATGCTTATATTTCAACTTTCCATTACATGTTTAGAAATGGTAAAGAATTATTTTTATATTATTAATTATATTTATAAAGTAATATATATTTATATTTTTTTATTTCTATTCATTTCATGTATGTGTCACCTTGTCTAGCCGTGTACCAATCTTGCTGTGTTGCCCTAGCCCACAATTTTCATAATTTGGCATGTCTTCACAGTCCACACCAATGCATTATGGTCGTTTCTCGTATGCGTGTTATTGCCCACAAGTAAATTTCCCACTAAACTCTATGTTGTGCACACCAATGCACGAATGGCAATTGTTCTGCATTCATCTATTGCATGTTGCTCACAGCTTGTCCTTACACTTAGTGTGCACTACTAGACAATATATCACATGTACGTTATGAGAACCATGTCCTCTCAGACCGTTATCTGCAAAAAGTCTTAGTCCACCCAAAAAAAAAAAAAAAAAAAAAAAAAAAAAAAAAAAAAAAAAAAAAAAAACTCCACATAAGAATGCCATGAAAAGCACCAATCATTTAAGGTGGGCTGAGGTGGAGTAGGGTGAGCTAAGGTGTGGTGGAAAGGTAAGGGGTGATGTGGCTGCAAGAGAGCAATAGGATGCCAGGCAGAGGTGCATTCAATGGAAGATGGGAGTATAAAGGAGGTGAGGGTAAGGATGCAATATTCAATTGGGTGGGGGTTGAACGAGGTTAGGTAGTGTTATTACAAAATCTCACAACAACCAAAGATATCCAATTGACATTGACAGAATCAAATAAGATGTGGGCGTGATTAATTAAAATCAACAAAGATAAAATGAAACAATAAAAACACAAAATTTTTAAAGTGGTTCAACAACTTTGATCAAGCCTACATCATTTTATTGATTGATTTGAGTGACAATTGCTAGCAACAAGCTTGTCTTTGACTTACAATTATGCTATTTTCTCTCTAAAATTGCTAACCCCTTTACAATGATTTTGAGGGGGGTTTATATATTGTTGAATTGATAACAGTTACAAGAGGGATTCTCGGGATAATGGCTTGATTTGGGAAGTTAATCACATGATCTTTGGTGTAGTTATCATGTCGAGATTAAAGGGAGTCAATCCCGTGATCTTCTCCTTGATTTTAGGGATAACGCTTATCAATGGTGATAGGACTTATCCACGATCTGAAAGACAACTGCCAAACAACTCGCCTTACCTTAGACATAGTTTGCTACAACTCAACAGCGACTCGCTTCGATTTGGTCGTCATCTCACAAATTACTTCGAGCTAAAGCTCGCTCTGAGTTGTCCACACATTCTCACACAACATTTGCCTCCAGTTTTTTGAGGTGAGCTTCAAAAACTATGACCTTTCCTGAGCACGCTACCGATATGCAAGTTACTACTAGATTAAATTGGCTTGTGAATCGGGTTTAACCAAATATATCTAAGCTGTAAGAGCGAGCTTGTACCCAATGACCTTTCGACGATAAACCTGTGTATTGGGATGAGCTTTCATTGTGCACTGAGCACGTTACATCCAACGAGGTACTAAAAACTTGGAAAAGTTTGGCATTGTTGGCTTTCATTTGAAAAATGCTTTCGGGGGCAATCACGAAATTTTAGCAAAATCACATCCATGCATTTAATGCGACTTCAAGTGAATAGGTACGCCTACTGTGCATTTAATGCGGTTGCAAGTGTATGGACACGCCAGTTAAAGCAACTAGCTATGATGTTTCATTTTCTGAAACGACAGTTACATTGCTTGGCTTGATCAACAACACAGACACAAATAGTCGGCCAAGATCGCTGCCAAGAATGGATGACCAAGATTACTTATAAAAATAGACGACCAAGATTGAATTTCGCTTGAGGTAACTTGCTATAAAAGGAATCCATAGCTAGACTTGCAAACCCTTACAAAATCTCCTCTTTGCAACCCAAAACACCTTGTTCTCAAAATCGAAAATCTTCTTCTTTAACAACGCAATTTCACAGTGACTTTCGGTGATTCCCTTCAACACTCTTTGTATTCACATTAGGCTCTTGTTTTCCTCACTTTTGACTTCATCATTGTGGTTATTGTTGTCTGCTTGTTATGGTTGAATTTGAATGGTAGATTTAGTTTTCCTAAGTTTTAGATATAAAAACTCACTTAGGATAGCCAGAATTTGTTGCCAAAGTCCATCTGTGTTGCTGGATTTGCGCTCATTGCTTAAGTTCGTCATTGGGTCGTTTGCTTAAAAATACTCTTGGTACTTAGGATTGAAGGCAAGTGTAGGTAGATCAACTTTAGGAATTAACGCAATCTATAACACTTGACTTCATGTTTTAGGTACCTAAAGACGATCTTTTAGTATGGCTACCACTGACAAAAAAAATTTCAACCTTTTTGATGAAAGCTCCTCGATGAGTCCAAAGGGATCTGAGGATAAAATTGAGTCTGACATACTCACAGATGAGATGTCAAACAGGAATTGACCTAGTGTAGCCGAAGTTGATTCTATGAGGACGGATGAAGACGTTGTCGAGGAAGTTGAACCTGAGGACGTTGAGCCTTTAAAGGTCGTTAAACCTAAAAAAGACTTTGTTTCTTTGATAACAAAGGATGACCAGACCTGTATTAAGAGTGAATAGGGGCTTACAAACCCTCTTCATCAGGCTAAGGATCGCTTGTAGAAGGATCCTCCCCATGGTTAGGTAACGATCTCCGAGATGCTATTGAGATGTGGAATGTTAGTTCCACCTCACCCTTTCATCGCCAATGTATTGAAACACTTCAACGTCGTTCCACTTTAACTTACGACAAACTTTTACATATACGTGAGCAACATGTATATTGCCTTCATGAAAAGTGGTTTGGGCGAGCTCTCGGTGGATGAGCTCATTTACGTATGTTCTCTGAAAAAGAGTAAAGGGGGGACCTACTATCTTTCCAAGACAAAAAAAAAAAAAAAAAAAAAGGCGATATCAACAGCCTGGTCAGTATTCCAAACAAGATTGGAGGCTAGGACTTTGATCATTTTTTCTTTCACTGCGAAGGCGATGGCTTCTTTAGAGAAACCTGTAAGTGCTCATTTGCTGGGATTTTAGGTCGCTTGTCCTTATCTCTTACGATCTCTTTTCCTTTTACTTGTAGGCTAGGGCGGACCCAAGCCCATTGAGGGTAGCCTTATCCTTAAATTTAAAAAATTTGAAAAACCCAAATTGGATTATTTCAACTTGATTCATGGTCTACGACGACGTCTTCATCATTTCCCCATATTCTCTTCTCCCTCCTATC